TGGTCGATGTAGTAGTTGTCGCCGATCTTGAAGACGAGGAGGCGCTTGTGGGAAGGGTGGACGGGAATGGTGCGGTGAAAAGATTTGAGGTCGAATGAGCAGGCGGTCGAGTCCGGCGGCGAGTGGGCAATCTACGGGAAGTCAGCACCGAACGTGAATGTCCGGGGTAGATATGTGGGCGTGAATGCCCAGCATGCGAGCCGGCGGACGTGAATGTCCGCCGACGCGAGCGTGAATGCTCGCGCTGCATGCGGGCGTGAATGCCCGACATGCCCGCCGGCGGACGTGAATGTCCACCGACACGAGCGTGAATGCTCGAATTGCATGCGGGCGTGAATGCCCGACATGCCCGCCGTCGGACGTGAATGTCCACCGACACGAGCGTGAGTGCTCGGCCTGCATGCGGGCGTGAATGCCCGACATGCATGCCGGTGGACGTGAATGTCCACCGACACGAGCGTGAGTGCTCGAGATGCATGCGGGTGTGAATACCCGACATGCATGTCGACGGACGTGAGTGTCCGCCGACACGAGCGTGAGTGCTCGGCCTGCATGCGGGCGTGAATGCCCGACATGCATGCCGGTGAACGTGAATGTCCACCGACACGAGCGTGAGTGCTCGAGATGCATGCGGGCGTGAATGCCCGACATGCATGTCGACGGACGTGAATGTCCGCCGACGCGAGCGTGAATGCTCGTAGGAGGAAGAATGAAGGAGGAGGACGGTGCTTACCACTTCAGCCAGCCGACGCGCGTCGTCAAAACACGTTGGGAAAGACTTTTTGTCGATGAGTGCGTTCACCGAGGGAAACCCGGCCTTGTCCGCCTTGGAGAGATGGCGGCAGACGCGACGTTTGGGTGGAATGCCAGGGCCTTGATCACTCTCTGCGATGACGAGTGGCGAACAGACAAAATGACCGCGTAAGATCGCCTGGACGCGCGATACCTCTTTGAATGGCCCTGAGATGCGGCCGGCGTCGAGCTCCGTGCGAACGTACTCCATCGCTAGCGGGTCGGCGTCGACGCCTGCTGCGTTGGGCAAGATGACGTTGCGGGCCAAGAAAGGAATATCAGCAATGGGGAAGCCGAAACGAAGATTTTGGATGAGATGAGGAAATTCTTGTTCGATTGAGAGCGTGTGCAAGGCGTTGGCGAATGCGTCGATGTTGTAGGGCGATATAATGCGTTCAAAAGTCTCGATGTCGGCCGGGGTCGCGTCGAGGGGCTGGGGAGGCGAAGAAACTGTAAGCGAGAGATCTGGGAACGACAAAGGAGTGAAATTGAACAAAAGTTCGGGTATATCCGAGCCCGCATCTTCCACTGGCGCGCTAGAGCGGCCAGTGGTTAGCCCGGAGCGTGTGTCCAGGCTCCGCGCTGCCGCAGATACTGCAGACGTGCAGCTGGTCGCCCTTGTGGCCCTTGCAGGCGCCCCAGATGTTGTAGTAGGCGCAAATACGCTTGGTTGGGTCACTGGCGACGACGAGCGAGGTGTTTCCGGCGGCATCTCTGGCGCCGCGCGCGAAGAAGGCGCCCGAGGCGTTGCAGTTGCGATAGATGTGGAGGGCGCAGCAGATAGGGCAGACCGGCGGGATGTCCCCGCTGGCCTGAAAGGAATGCTGGCCGCTCCCGGAGGGAACGGCGATGGCGTTCGGGCCCGACGCCGGCTGCTGCTGGTACTGCCCGTATTGCTGCTGCTGGTGCTGGACGTGCTGAAACTGCTGCTGCTGCTGGTGACGCTGCTGCTGCTGCTGCTGGTGGTGAACCTGCTGCTGTTGCTGCTGCTGCCACGGCTGTGTTTGCGCGGTCGGCGGCGGCGGCGGGGCGAACGCTGGCATCGGCGGGGGAGGCGCGTTCCAGTGAGCGGCGGGGGCGTAGTGAGGGGCGGGGGCGTTCCAGTAAGGCGCTGGGGCATTCCACTGCGCCGGGGGGCTCCACTGAGCGGCGCCGTGCCAAGGAGCGTTTGACAAATCAATCGGCGCGGCCTGCACGGGGCGCTGACGAAAAGCCGCCATGTCCGGGCGCTGTGCGCGCGGGGCCGACGGCGGGGCGCGGGGGACCTCATGCTCAACCTCTGTCGCCGCCCGTTTCTCTCCTACCCGAGGAAGGTCCTGCACCTCCATATTCGTCATGAACGCATTGTGGGCATGAGCCGAGTAAGGTTTCCCAGACCCGATCATCTCCGACACCCTCAACGCGCTCCAATGAATCCAACGGTCCAGCTTGATAGCTGGGGATACGTTGGAGCGTACGAACTCGACGTGGGCGCGCAAGTGGTCCGCCAGGTTCGATCCAGGGGAGGCAGTCGCTGGGGTAATGTAGTCGGCGATGAGAACGAGATTATCGTGGGCGTCGAGGACGTCCGCGAGGTCGGTGGGAAGCGGCTCCGTGCGCTGGCCCAGGAAAGCCGCCGCGTCGAAGTAAGGACGTGCTTTTCCACCGAACGCGAGGACGGGGGAGGACTTCGTGGGCAGCTCACGCAGCCCCATCGAAAAGGCGCGGAGGTTGGGCGTCGTGACCGCTGCAAATGGGATGGATTTGCGAAGGCTCATGGCGACGATGATAGGGTCGGGGATGCTGATGCCCGAACGCGTCTTGAGACCCATCTTGACGGACTCCAAGCCTCCCGCCAGCGACATCGACGGCTGCCCCGTTTTTGCGCGACGGGCCCTCTCCCACACGACCGCATTCGTTAGCATGAAGCAACAAGGCTTGAGCGCCTCGTAGATTTCGGGACTATCCACGCACTTCTCGATCTCCCCAATCGAGAACCCGTACAGCTGCTTCATCGGTGGACCGACGTCGGGGACTTCAGCATCGCCGGCTTTTGCGGCAGCCTGCGCTAGCGAGGTCTGCAGGCCCGAAGTCATGTTCTCCTTCTCAGCGGTGATGTTATACGCGTTCCTAATGACGATGGAAGGGTCCTCTTCCTGCATTGGCGCCGGCTCTATAGTGTGGGCTTTGAAGTCGAAATTCTGGGGGTAAGGGGCGACTATCTTGGCGTTGGGAAGGAGCTCTCCAGCCTTGTAGAGCTTGTTCTGCATCCTGGGCGCGAAATGGGGAAGAGGCGAAGTCGACGCGTCGAGGTGGAGGTCAAGATCAAAGCCGTGGCTGCAGATCAGCCGCGGAATCAAAGTCCGCAAAGGTCCGCTCAACAACTCAATTTATTCACTCAAGGGCTCTACCGCCCCCTCAACACTCTATCTAACGCTGGTCCCCTCGTACCTCGGGAACCAGCTAGCAATATCCAACATGTCGAACAAGTCGAAAGACGATAACCCGCAAGGTAAGTAGCTGTTCTAGACCTACCAACCCGTTTTCAAGCCATCCAATGTTCAGTCGTACGCAGTTAGTAAGAGAACTATGCCACAAGAGCCCCTCCCGCCAATGCCTTCGTGCTGCGATGACCCATCCGTGAATCCAGAGTGCACTTGACACTGGCGGGGCCTGTCCCCAATGTTTCATTCTAGGTACCCCGCAGCATTCGAGACGAAGCATCATTGGACTGGCTCTCCGAGGTAGCCCAAGGTATGTTGAAGCTCACAAGGCAGCGGCCGCCGCGGCGGTTGGCACCCGCGCCATCCGCGTGATGAGTGTGTGCTCATTAGCGTTTTCAATTTTCTTGTTGCTTATGCTCGGTATTGCAGCCGAGGAGGAAGCCGAGGCTTTTGAAAAAACGCTGGAGCAATTCTTGTAATAAAGGCATTGTCTTCCTTTCATCTCTTGCCTCCACGACGTTGCAATTTTTTCCCCCTACACTGTAGCCGTATCATGCGCAGCGACCACACTGAATTCGACGCAAACAGCCGCTTCGAAATCTCACTGGCCACGCGTCCTCGGAAAAGTCGACACTCGCAAAGCGGTCCGTCTCGAGGTGTACGCGTTGAGCGTCTCCTGAAGGGGCTCTATCAGCTGAAAGTCAACGCGAAGAGCGAAGAAGCGTGACGTTGGCTGTGAGGTAGGGGCGCAGTCTCGTCGTGAAGACATGTATGCCGACCCTACACACACCGGACACCCGCGCGTGAAGCCGACCGCGACGCGCACACGCATCGCACCACAAGCTGGCCCGCGGATTCAAACCGGGATTATGCACTGCTGGGGTCCTATCTCCACGTCTGCAAGACAACCACAGGTGCCAAAATAAAATGTACTTTTAAAAAAAACCAATCCAATTATGTTCGACTGACCCAAGTAATATTCCTAGGCGGCAAAGCATTCGGGCGCGCCGAAGTGCACTTTGGCGGTAGTCCTCGAAAACTTCGCTTTCGACCCTCTGCGCACGGTGTCCTCGTCGGCCACCCGAGTCGCAGTCATTGTGGCTCACTTATTTTCTTCCTAGACGTCTTCAATGAAATCCTATGCATCTGTCCGGCCCGGTACATTCCTTCGCAGACGGCGGGTTCTATGTAAGATGTCCGCTCCCTTTGTTGCCAGGTTCGGTCGTCGATTGGAGTGTGGGTCATTTAGACAGCAGTCCGCGGGATGTGGTCCCGACGGGGCTCGAGTCCAGGAGAACTGCGGAAGCTGGCAGTGGGGGAGGAAATCTAGGATAGTCGTTCAGAGTCGTTCACATATATATAGATGATAGAAGTGGGCTGAACCCTTCACAAACACGGGATTCCACCTGACTCCCGGGCTGTTTAAAGAACATGTCGAGTTTTACTCTTGCTTGGTCGAAGGAAGTCAAGACGATTCACAGAATAACGGGGGCGCTTCTGGGTGCATCGATAACAACTTCAAAGTCGAGAAATCAGGGGGACGAATTTGTCGTGAAAAAATAAAAATAAAAAGAGGTTTGCATAAATGAAATGTCGGAAAAAAAATCATATTGCTTGCAAGGGCTTGAGTATCGACGGTCAGGACAGTACCTTCCATTCCCAAGTCGCCCCCCCGTTCGGCCTTGGTACATTTTAGCACTTTCTTGAGTCGAGGGCATTCTGGGGAGTTTCTGGGCAAAAATGAGTCAAATGACAAGAAAAAAAAGGGGAAGCTCAAAACGAAGCAACCGCTGATGGGGCTCGAACCCACAACCTTTGCCTCGCAGTAAACAGTCCAAATTTAGGAAGGCAATGCACTACCTTTGTGCTACAGCGGCCTGTACCACTATAAAAGGTTTAAGTCCTAATTAAGAAATCGCTCCAGTGTCGCTATATTGACGAGCCATCAACACGACAGAGCCACTAACTTCACCTTGGGCAAGACATTTGACCAATTTATTGAGCGACGGCGCTCGTCGCAAATCGATTTTAAGTAGGGGAGAGGTTTGACTCCCGATCGGGACTCTTGGGATCAATGATGCGATAGTTGATGGGCGATCAACTCAACACAGCCACTGAGGTTGACCTCCCCATTTCAGTTACATCCCGCGGAGGCAGAACTGCGCTCAGCTGATTCAACTCCTTCAAAATTCCAGCGGCGATTGCCGAGTTGCGGCCACGAAGACTTTTTTAATTGAACGTGGCCACGTTCAGTGTCTCCTCAACTCAGTTCATCGACATTCCAACTTCGAGGATGCCCTAGTCGAATCCACGTATGACTGCTGTTATTTTTGTATTGACCATTAATGTCACAATCCCGCAGGTTGATTCAAAACGAACGAGTACAAAACTACGGAGGGAGGTACAGGACGTTGGCGGAAGGAAATAATGGGTGAGGGTGGAGGCACTCGCGGATCTGGTGTGGGTGGAGGCACTCGCAGATCTGACGTACGAGGTGCGTTCAAGCCTGAGGAAGGACGGACGAGGAAAACAGGACAAAGTTGAGGTCAAAAGTATGATTATGCGGCCGAATTCCAACAACATTGGCTTAAATTGTGTACAAGGGCGTAAGTAAACTGGTGTGGTGCATTTTGCGGGTTCATACACGACGTTACTCTTAAACGGTGTGGCCAATAGCGCGATGTGGTCGGACGGAAAGACGAAAGCCGACAGCCGAGAAAGTCGGAACAAGCCGGCCAGCACACAAACCCGCCTCTTTACCCTAGACTCCATCTAGACGACGTCCATGTCCGCCCCGACCCTCAAAAAATGGGATGCCAGGTCCGTCACCCACGTTCCCCGTCGTCTCCTACGCTCACCAACTGCCCTTTGCACAGATTAGCTGGGCCTGTGCCGCATGATGTCAACTACTACTCAAAGTGCATGCTCGGCGGTGCTCTCGCCTGTGGCTTCACCCACGCCGGTATCACCCCCCTCGATGTCGCAAAGTGTAATATGCAGGTTCGTCCGCCTTTTATCGCGTTTTTCTCTCATTTTTCTCATTTTTTCACTTCAATTTTTTTAACCGAAAAAAAGGTCAACCCGCTCAAGTACAGCGGCCTCTTGCCCACTCTGCGGACCCTTATGAAGGAGGAGGGCCAGACCGGTATCTGGAAGGGCTTCGGACCCACCTTCGTCGGCTACTCGCTCCAGGGCATGTTCAAGTACGGGCTCTACGAAGTCTTCAAGGACGGCTACATGAACCTCGCCGGCGAGGAGCTCGCCGAAAAGTACAAGCCCGCAATCTGGCTCGCTGGTTCTGCCTCGGCTGAAGTCTTCGCTGACATCGCCCTCTGCCCGCTCGAGATGACAAAGGTCAAGATCCAAACTAGCGCGACCGGGACCTTCCCCACCGGTTTTGGTGCCGCCCTCTCCCAGATGAGCGCCACCAAGGTTGAGACCCGCTTCCCCTTTGGCTCTCTCGTCCCTCTGTGGTCTCGTCAGGTTTGCACTTTTTGTTCCCCGCTTGCTCGCTTTGGTACAACTGAAGCGACCGCCCAGATCCCGTACACCATGGCCAAGTTCTTCTTCTTTGAGAAGATCGTCCAGTCGTTCTACACATATGTCTTCACCGAGCCCAAGGACTCCTACGCCAAGACCACCCAGCTCGGTGTCACCTTCGCCTCAGGTTACCTCGCCGGTGTGGTCTGCGCCATCGTCTCCCACCCCGCCGACTCGGTTGTCTCCCTCCTCGGTAAGGCAGAAAACAAGGGCAAATCCGTCGGCACCATCATCAGCGAGACTGGAATGTCCACCCTCGCCACCAAGGGTCTCGGCACGCGTGTTGTCATGATTGGTGCGCCATCTTTTTCGTTTGACTCGACATTCTCCGACGTTGATCCCGCGTTAGGTACGCTCACCGGTTTCCAATGGTGGATCTACGATTCGTTCAAGGCCGCCATGGGCATGGGCACGACAGGTGGCAAGTAATCCTGGGCTCAACAACGTTCGTCCTCACCTTGTCTTGCAAACGTGCGATTGAGCTAGTTCTACAGCATAGATGTCCGACGCATCCTATTTTACTTATTCGCCATGTCCCTCTTTTCGCTATTACATAGAATGGAACTTAATGGCTTCCTACCCTCCCTCTCTCCTACAAATGCAACGACACTTGATGACCACCCCACTCATAATGCGTGCAAAGTTGATAGCAAAGTTGAGAGCAATGATACAAGTTGACATCTACATTGTCTTACTGGGCCTTGGTCTTTGCTTTTTTCTCGCGCGACTCGCCCGCCAACCATGCTGCCGAAAACAGGAAAAATCCGACGCTGGTGCTAATAGCGCCAGCGTAATATGGCCATGCAGCGCTGAGGAATCGCGGGTACCCATCGTGCCGGGGCGGGACGAGGGCAACGGTCGTTGAGCTGTGCAGGTGGGTCCACCTAGTGTGCATTAGCAAGGTCGTCACAGAAATAAGAGACGCTGCATGATACCCTTTTCGTTTGTAGTCGATGATGAATTTAAATACACCATGACGGTCGGGCGCGCGGAACGTCACGGAATACTCTCCGGGTGATCCAGCAACAGGCAGGAGCGCAGTGCGGATGTGCGGGTCCAGCATTGTAAACTCGAGTTGCATATCCTTGATACCAGAATACGGCTCCCATATCGACTTTTTCGAGTTGAAGTGCGAGATGTGTGCGGTGTAGACCTGCAGGATGTTCATGGGAGTTTCGGACAGTCCAAAAGACGTACAATGTTGTCGTTGGTGGTATATTGCTCCAGCGGCGTTGTGGTGTTGACGAGGTGGTGGGTCGTGCTGTCAATACGCAACACAAGCGACTCTTGGAACGTCCAGGCCGCAATGTCGCGCCCGAATTGAGTGTTTCCGGACTTGACACCTCTGAACCAAGATTTAAAAAAAACTTCGTCGACGCGAAGAGGGAGGGAAGAACGCACTTGGACACCTCCTTCTTCGCAAACTTGTCGCTGAACATGTCAACACCGCCGACCCATGTCACGCGCGCGCCGCCGAGGGCCTGGAAGCCCGTCGCGACGCTCAGCTGGCTTCCGGCCCACAAACCTTCGCCACCCTTTTCCGTCGCGTCGACCAGCGCATCTGCACCGCTGTCCGTGTCCGCGGCGAAGCTCTCTGCCGGCGCGCGTAGGATCGGTACGAGGAAGGGGTTGTTACCGAGAGCGTGCGCAGCACCAGAGAACCAGACGGGCGCGAGTTTGGGGGAAAGGATGTGCGAAGACGCGGGTGCGGGGATGGGGATGACCGTGAGTGGGTCCTTGCGCTCGGGGAAGAACGAGACAAGTGGTGTGCTTGGAGGGGGGAGTATGAGGGAGAACTCGGCCGCGAGGGACGAGAGCGCGGTTTGCTTTGTAGAGAGCGCGAGGAGGAGGTTGGTCCCGCCAGAAAGCAGTTCGACGAGGGACTGCGGTGTGATGTCTTTGGCAAAGTCTGGACGTGTTCAATTAGAATTGAATCCATGGCACGCCAGCGCGTCCTTACTTTTGGATTCCGATGCAAAGATGATTATGTGCGAGAATGTGGGGACGTCGTGCTCGGACACGACTGGTTTCTCATCCTTTGGCGCGCGGAAGGTGAGCTCGTATCCCTGCTCTGTCCAGGCGTCAAACGACTTGAGCGACGACTATACACACCCCGACGCACCTTTCAAGCCGTCAAAAAATATAGTAAAGTCCTTCTTGTGCGCCTCCTCGACGACAACGAGTACAGAGTCTCCGTCGCTAGATTTGGCGTGGAGAAGGCCTGACAAGCTCAGGAAAAATAAGAGGAAAGCACAGAAGGAGAGCATGGGTCCAGGACTGCAGCCAGCACGGCAGAACGGGAAATAAATGAAAGAGGTTCAAGGTGCGTCGCAAATGTGAGTTCCACGTCGCAGCCTATTTTGGGAGTCCAAAGTTGGCTTTGCTTGGTATCGCCGTCTGATGTCCGTACATATGTAAAAGAAATACATTCACAGCGCCGCAATCTCAATTTGTGAGCTATCCAACCCCAGCGCGTGTAGAAAGAGGTTCACGTTCGCAAGCTTCGTTCGTCTCTCGTCCTCGTCCGCAACCCAACCCTGGTTCGCGGTCACGACATTCTCAAGCACCTTGTCGCGCAGCGAGGTCACCAGCACTTGGTGCTGCTCCGGGACCGCCTGCAACGCCAGCGCAGCCAGGAACTGCCACACCGGCTGGTCGACAATGTCGATCGCAAGGGCAATATTGGCAGCGTGATGCGGCGGAAGCGTGATGCGGCTCGAAGGAAAGAGGGCCAGCAAGTGAGGCGTCAGTAGCCCAAAGAATTGGTCGAATATGGCTTGCCTGGATGGGAATGAGTATCTGCCGTGCGTTCAGACCTGGGAACTTACCATTGCTCGAGAGAGGCTGCCGCCGCCATTACATCCACAGGCTCAACACCTTGTCCCCACGCCTGCTTGATAACCTCCACGCGACTCAGGAACAATGTGAGCAACGCCAATCCGGGCTACGAGTGCGCTCAGTCACATTGCAATACACGGACATCCGACTTTCTCGTACCTTGGTCTTCGCAACAGCGGCAATGTCCTGGCTACGGTCCATCAACAACGCCAGCAGCGCGGTCACGACGTGCAACTCTAGTGTCGCAACGATCGGCAGGATGCTTTGCAAGACACTGCCCAGGAAGGCTTGCGTCTGCCGCTCCGCCTCAGCGCGCGCGTCAGTTTCTGCCAACGAATCCAAGAGCGGTGCCTGCTGCACAACATCTAATTGGGTGAAGCACGCGACGAGGAGTGTCATGAGGGTAAGCATGCGAGCGGAGCCGATATGTCTGGTGAGTCGCGGAAGAAGCTTTTTACCCTTGCTCGGAGACAGCAAGGAGACAAAGGGATGAGGATTG